AAAAAAAAGAAGAAAAAAAACAGGATTTTTTTAGAGTGTAATCACTGTTTCAAAATTCAAGATTATTGTAATATGTAATGAGAACATTTGGTTTAATCTGGAACATAACAGAACATTCAGAACGAACAGTTCAGTCATTTGCAAACAATGCAAGATAGGCTAATTGTTTCAAATTACCCTTGTTGCTGAAATAGTTACAGTAACACAGGCTACAGATGATACATTAGAAAGTGCACATTTTTTAATTTACGTAATTGACATAAAATGTAATAATTTGTTTGTAATAGTGACCCGCTCTTCACCCCAAACCAGCAGGTTCACGACTTCTTCCACCCGTAACGGTATACAGCTCGGTCCCCTCGCCATATCATCTCAAATGCATAAGCAATTGCACTTATTATGGGCTTGACAGTCCTTTTAAGTGTGTCTTCCTCCATTTCAAAACAAGCGTGTGTTCAAAAAGCAAAGAAATGCTTATATTTCTTCACTGGCCAACAGAGCGAACCAACCTCATGACGTCACACTCTGTGATATTGCAAGATGGCGGCGTTTCTAACATGGTTAACAAACATTAGAATTTTATAAAAAATTTTACTTAGGCTACAAAAATAAGTACAACTAAAAATTTATATAAAATCTGTAGCTACTAAAATGTATCTTTGATACACTACTGTAAATAAAAATGGTACAGAAGTTCACTTCTGCCGAGCCTCAGGCCTGTACATACTAAATGGCAGGAGCAGAGGGGATTCTTTAGGGAGGTTCAACTTCACATGTTGTTCAGGTCTTGGAGCTAGTGTAGTTGACTATGCCATCACTGACATGGACCCATCCTCCTTCAGTGCATTCACTGTCATACAACAAACTCCGCTTTCTGACCATACCCAAATTAACATTTATATTAAAACACATCACACACTTACACAAAACATACTCAAAACCTGTAAAATGTATAAAATCCAGCCAATACATAGATGGGCTTCAGACAGCACAGACAAATTTATTCAAGCCCTCAATTCCGAAGAACTGAAAATCACTAAATTTATTAACAAAAAATTTGAAACAACTAAAGATGGTCTTAATTTGGCTATAGATTAAATAAATTACATATGTAAAAAAGCAGCATGTAAAACTGATTTGAAAAAGAAAGGCAAAAAATATAGTAAAAAAAAACCACCAACGATGAAAAATCGTTTGACTCAGACTGCAAAACAATAAGAAAACAACTTAAAAAAATATCAAATCTGAAACATAAAGAACCAAACAACACTGACATAAGAACTGGATACTGTTCAAAATTAAAACAATACAAAAGCCCTATTCGCACGGGATTAGTATTATCTGGGGACCTTGTGTGATTTTGAAATGACCCCCCCACATCTGAATTTCGTGTGGTGCATTCGCACGGGATAAGCGAAGCCTGTGATTTTACTTGAATTTACTGACTTATCTCCCAGATACTCGAAAAATGATATACGACCCGTCAAATGCTGGCCGAATCACAGAGATGCCGATTCGCACGGGACTAATATTAGCACAGAACCTCGGTGTTCGGCGAAATATGGTAGGTCATTTGCGGGGTAATTTTTACTTTACAAATTACAGACATGGCCGATTCGCACAGGATTAATATCACAGACAAACTCCGCAATTATTACAAATGACTGGAGGTCACCAGGTAATACTAATCCCGTGCGAATAGGGCTAAAGACACACTCAGAGCAAAAAAGAAACACCATCTGATTAAAAGTTTACAAGAACATTCAATAAATCATAATCAGTTCTGGGATATGTGGAATAATGTGAGCACAACAAAACCACAAGACTTACCAATACAAGATGGAAACATTTGGACAAAACGATTTGAAAATTTACATAAAGAAATCCCACCAAAACAACTCAATAACAATTATGATCAGATCAAACAAAGTCTACAAAGTTAGGAAAATACAATCAAAAATAATCAAAACCCACTAGAATTCCCAATTACACATGTAGAATTGACAAATAAAACTCAAAACTGAAACACAGCACACCTGAGCTTCAGACGGCTGTGCTCAAATTATTCAACCCTGTACTTAGTTCAGGCTGTTTTTCTGACATGTGCAGCCAAGGACTTATTACCCCAATTCACAAGAGTGGAGATAAATTGGACCCTAATCATTTCAGAGGCATCTGTGTGAGCAGTAATCTGGGTAAGTTAATTAGCAGTATTTTAAACAATAGAATAGTGAACTTCCTTAACGAACACAGTGTCCTGAGCCCTTGTCAGATTGGCTTTCTTCCAAATCATAAAACTACTGACCACATTTGATTCTATTTGGCATGACGGATTATATTGCAAACTTTTACAAAGTGGTAGGGGGTAAAGTTTATGATATTATAAAATCAATGTATTCAAACAACAAATGTGCAATATGAATTGGCAATAAACATACAGAACTTTTCACCCAGAAGAGAGGAGTGCGGCAGGGCTGTAGCCTGAGTCCAACACTGTTCAACATTTACATAGTGGTGCAGTTGGAACAGTCTACAGCCCCTGGACTCACTCTACAAGACAAAAACATCAAGCTTTTGCTGTGCCCAGATGATCGAGTACTGCTAGCATCCACCTGCACAGGGACTACAGCAGCACCTAGACCTGCTGGAGAACTACTGCCAGAACTGAGCCCTGGCAGTAAACCTCAAAAAGACCAACATTATGGTCTTTCAGAAAAAGCCCAGATGTCAGGAACACAGATACCAGTTCCATCTAGGCAGCACCGCCCTAGAACACACGATGCAGTATATTTACCTCGGCCTGATCTTCACTGCATCGGGGAGTTTCAGTATGGCAGTGAATGCTCTCAAAGATAAAGCTCGAAGAGCTCTATATGCTATTAAGAAAAAATTCCAAAATATTGAATTACCAATTCCAATTTGGTGTAAAATCTTCGATAGTGTAATTCAGCCCATAGCGCTGTATGGAAGTGAGGTGTGGGGTCCACTCAGTGACCAGAGCTACACTATATATAACAGACATCCAACAGAAACCCTACACACACACATAATTCTGTAAAATGATTCTAAAATTACAAAGGAGAACACCCAAAAATGCATGTAGGGCAGAATTAGGCCGATTCCCATATTAGTATTAAAAAAAGATCCCTAAAATTCTGGATGCATCTAAAATTGAGTCCCACAGAATCACTACATTTTAAAGCGCTACAAACCCAAGAACTGAACCCCGAAAAAATTCCTCTAACTCAGCTGGTTCTGAGACTTACTAACCTGACTAACTCTACTAACACTAACCAGTCTCAGACCAGGGGTCCATTTCAATAAGGAGGTTCAGCCAACTCTGAGTTAAAAACCTGAATTCTGAGTTGACTTACCCTGAGATGGGAAACTATGAGTTTTCTGTTTCAGAACAGCTGAATTGTGTTAGTTCAGTCAACTCTGAGTTTAGCGCATGCACCACGACTATGAGAAGTCATGATCAATGGAGCTCTGAAATTATGATTCACCATGGCAACAGCACCGACAAAAAGATGTCCGCATACTTCCGAGTCAATAAATAACTTTAATTCTTATTCACTGTTATAATATCAGAGGTAAAAACGGTAAATTATTGAACTAATATTCATTTTCATGGTAGCCTATCCCACGGCAAAAAAAAAAAGAAGAAAAATCCTTGCTAAATAAAAGTATTATAAATAAAATAAAATTGCAGCGCTAAATAACATTTATAATTTCAACTAGAAAGCAGTTATTTTAAATAGTAAAAATAATTCATAATGTTACTGTTTTTGCTGTAGTTTGGATCAAATAAATGCAGGCTTGGCAAACAAAAAAACATTACAAATCTTACTGTTAAAAAACTTTTGACTGGTAGTGTAGGCTGATTATTCTTATAGATTGAGACAAATGTGCTTCAGCCAGGATAAACGATTCACTCAACTCACGATTCGATTCACATTTTTTTTTAACAAAATGAGATTTAAGACAAATTATAAATTAAATGTGTCCTTTTATTATTGCTTGGACAAAATGCTCCACGTTTCTTTGTAAAAATGTAAATATAACACTATAATAATATACTAATATAGCACTTATAGCATATAATTACTCTTTTGTTGGTTTTGATTGCTTCTATTGTCCTCATTAGTTAGTCGCTTTGGACAAAAGCGTCTGCTAAATGACAAAATTTCGCATATTCACTCTCTGCCAGCAGGTGGCGCTTAAAGCGTTTCCTTGGTTTCCGCTGTAAACAAAGCAGCGCTGCACTTATGAACTTTAATATGCATTATACAGAGGCAAGATGAAAAGAAAAAATACCATCTAAACTTTTCTAAAGACAGTAAGTTCCCCTCAAACATACATTCATATAAACTCCTACCCCTAAATGAATCGCGATTTGTTTAGCAACTCACCCGATTTGAATCATCACGTATTTGAATCGATTTTCAACCGGCTCGCGGTTAATCGTTACATCCCTAATAAAGAATATGAAAAGTGCTCTGAGTTGCTGCAGAAAACAAAAAAATTGAGCAACAACAAAAACATGTTGCTGGAGACGGGCTTATTATTGAAAATGCAAATTCATTCTCTGCCAGCAGGAGACGCTTTTAGCGTGATAAACCCATAAAACCAAGAGTTTCCCTCATTTCAGGGTTAACATACTCAGAGTTTTCACTTAACCTCCTTTCGGATCTTCTAGCCGTGCATCAAAGGTTTCATGCTCACCGTAAAATTAATACTGTGTTCCGAAGCTAAGTTTATTACAATCATAAGCTGTCTAGTGTGATAACATCCACTCCCTTGGCATAGCAGAACAGCGTTGTCTCTGGACGAGGGCACGACTAAATGTCGATATTCCATTGGTTAAGAGAAAAGAACAGACACCCCGTCGTAGCCAATCAGCGCTCGACCCCAACAAGGTATGCTGACACCTGATTGGACGTCAGCGTGACTCTTTAACGCATGTGAGCAGCTGGCAAGCCGATACGAATAGGTCATCTGTGTGACCGGACCTCACCAGCTCGCAAGTTCCTCTGTATCTGATAGTCAGGTGAGTAAAAACTCTCGGTTCGTATTGTAATCGCGAAACCCTCAAGAAAACCCTTTTATTAATGATAACAAAGACACAGTAAGAGCATCAATCTGACACACTAATGCACACTGATGTTTGTAGATGAGGAACGCATCTTAATCGCTCGTATTTCTCCAGAGAGTTTTATACACACATTTTACTATAATGTATACGTCTGTCCTAAGTGATGGGACTGCGGCGCGAGCATGATGAAATCTACCCCTGCGCCACAGCATCACGATCAGCGCGAGCACAATGAAGGCAATAGCCACGCGATTGCGTCATCTTACCTTATGTGCTTTCGTTAACAGGACGCTCTTATATGTTTTACAGTCCATACCTACATACACCTGCTGTGGGGAATTATTTTGAGTCATTAATTAATTAATTTATTAACCATTATCAGTTCTCTTGTCATTTAAGCCGGATGAATGGCTGTTCTTTTTAAAGCCTATCAAAACTGTCCTTGCTTTTTCTGAAATGTCTGGCATTGTAAACGTCGCCCGCCGTTGAAGAGTATATACATGTAGAAAAAAAATTGAATTCTCTATATGACTACGATCTTAAGTCGCAGAGATTTCTTGAGGCAGCCTTTAACCAGATTTTTATTTTTTTTACAATTTTTATTCATACGTTTCCCTCAGTTTGAGAACATTTTGTGAAGCTTTACGCTTCTGAGATATTGTTTCGGTGTTGTTGTGTATAGTATCATGACTAAACAGGGTTTGAGCGAATCCCTCTGTACAGACTAACTATCTTTGCATCGTCTCAGTTGTCTGGAAAGTCACTCCTCTTCTCTGAAGGTTGTGTGCGGAAAGCAGAAGTTTTTTATTCCACTTTGTCTGGTTTTGCCAAATGCTTTTTTTATGGATAACTCTGCTGTTATTATGTTACTAATGATGCTGTCAGCTGAGAGCAGAAAGTGTGTTTTGCCAATCTAGGAACCTTTTCTTTATGTTTAACATGTAGTTAGTTGTAAAAGCCACAATCAAAACATCATAGATGCAGTGTTCGAATTTAGATGAATTTAAAATTAATCTAAATGCCTCTTCAGATGCAAAGATGAATTTTGTTGATAATGATTTTATTTGTTTGGTAACAGTCCCAAATGTCTTATTGTTCTAATTGAATTTATTGATTAAATATAAGAATTTGACGCAAAATATAATGTACACTTCTAGAAAAAAAGGGCTTTATAAAGGTAAACATGCCTATAAAGGGTAAAAATCACTTTAAACTTGTTGGAAAAAAATTATTTCTGTCAATGCTGTGAACTGACCACGAATATGAAGAATATCAAAAACTTTAGGAGTCAGCTGTCCACGGCAGTCCTGCTGCGTGACAAACTCAGCAAAATATCATCTGATTATCGTTATCGATAAAATCCCAGAAAATAGGGATACCTAGGGAAAATACCAGTAGGCTAGATATTTAATTTCTTTGCTTAGTGATTGCTTGGTACACCTAATTCACTGATCATCGTAAAATAAGCTTTTATCTTAGAATTTTTCTCAACGATAACGAGGACAAGACAAAAAATATTAATCATATTTATATAAGCTTTTATTTATTGATTGATTGAAAGGGGAGTGGGGACGGGTCTATTTAGGGGGACCTAAATTTTTGTATAAATCAGTATTTTGGATTTTGAAAAGCCTGCTGACTTTTGCCTTTTATCTAAGGAGATTTTGGAAGGTTTTTCAACATTCCTTTCTTATTTAATTGGTTCCACAGTGTTTGCTGATTTTTACTTTATTTAAACTTTGTGTAATTTATTTTATTTGACATCAAGGTGTATGCGTGCCTCCAAGCTTTCTTACTCGTTTTGCTAATAAACATTTTACGTTTCTTATTTATTTGGTTATATATTATATACATGTTTACTCATTTCCAGTTTTGTATACCCATTTAAACTATGTAAGGTATTTGTTATTTTATATTAGGCATAGCCTGCCCTATAGCATGGTGTATTTTTATTCGTTTTGTTAATAAAAGTTCTATGTTTTACATATAGGCTAAAGTGAGTTTGACTTTGTATTTTGTTGTTGCATTCAAGCAATTGATGCCGAATTGCCGCTAATTCGAAAGTGAAAGTAAAATGCACACGGCGCATTTAAGCTATTTAAAAGCGAAGGAAAGCAAGGAAAAGAGGGAAATTTCAAACGAACTAAAAACGAACAATTGCTTTACGCTGAATTGCCGCTAATTTGAAAGTGAAAGTAAAATGCACACACAGCTTTTACAAGCTATTTAAAAGCGAAGGAAAGC